ATCTTCATACCTTCGAAGAACTACTTATGTTTGATTGGCAGATTGAGAGAGGATGTTGGGCTTCCATCCAAAAGAAGGTGACTTAACCTGTATGCTTTGTAATGGTTGTAGCTTCACTCATTAGTCCAATATTCTATATTAAGCTCACCAACCAAACCAGATGTACTAGATTACGCAGCCCCAGTCATACCTTTCCTTGAATGGCCAAACTTTAATGATCTTAAACTAAGGTTAGAACAGGTGGTTTCGTAACTTTACTTATCCTTATCTCATTACCACAACCATAATTTTTGACAGATTTACACAGTCTTGGTCAGGAATTTGTCTTGGGTCATTGAGCCTTGACGATTAGAACCTGACATTCGGCTTTCTTTGATCATTCTGATTTAGGATAGGTTTTGCATATGGGCGTCAATACACGCACACTCGACAAATAAAAAAGATAATTAGCCAAACTATTCTAGGCATTTGAATTTTCTTTTACCTAATTTTGTCTATATAATAGATAAGATAGTCATATAGTCTTCTTGACCTAATGTTGATGTAAGACTTTTACATGGATCAGTTCCAACTCTGATGATGTCCATCATATGATGGACGAAAGCTTATCCCGTTTTTACCCGAAACGAGGGAGGGTGTCTCGTATATTGCGTTAATCTGAACGTCGTATTAAAGCCAAACGGCTGCAGTACTGCGGAAATCTGCCGTTTTCTTCTAGTGAAATTTACCTTTAAATCCCTTTATTATGAACTCTTATACGAAATGCAGGTTTCTCCAACAAAGTTATCTTAGGATATACATCGAAACCCAGTTCCTATTCTTATTTTTACTCTATCTACTATTTCGGTCAGGTGTCTGATAATCGTCCTGCTATTTAAATGTCCCCTGACAAAGTGGCGACCTTAATTTCCATAATACTTACGCACTTTTTGCCATTACACTTTTTAAAAGGGTTTGTCTTCTTGCTCGTCGCCATGATTGCTATCAACGTGATTGTTGGAATTGACAACACTGTATGTTAAGATTATTCTACAAATGCAGCTTTCTTGTCAAATCTTTTCTATATCCTGTTGCTTGCCTTAATCATCTTCCCTTCTTTTGTTCGTGTTCAGTGAGGTGCAAAAATTTACTCCTGATGTCCGCAAATCGAAACATGTTCAATTTGCTTTAGCCGTACACCAGGCTGTCACAGAGGTCAACTACGTGCGCTTTTTTCGCTTGGCTCGTTGCGGTGACTGCTTGCCTGTTTGTCTAATGCATCGCTACTTTGGCCAAGTGCGCGGTCAAGCCTTGGTCAGAATGGCCGCTGCATTTGCGGGCCATCCTCGGAAAGAGGTTCAGGTGAGGAGTCTTTTAAGCTTGGTCAGTTAATCTGACTTGTAATTATTTTTTTGTTGTACGTGGCTGCGAAATAAGTTTCATATTACTCTCGCATTTTTAAAAATGTTTTTCCCTTAAGATATCCATTGCTTTCATAATTTTTGCACTCACTGGGTTACGCATAAGCTTATATGCCTCTGCTACAACTTTCCCTTACATTTTCTTTTGCTTATTCTGGAATCTAATTAGC